GCTTTTCATGCATAAACTTTTTTCAGTCTCATGATTACACTTTGAGATGGGTGCCTTGACTGTCTCCATTTAGAAGATGAAGAAATCAGGGTTCAGAGAGGTTAAACAACCAGCAGAAATGAGTAATTGAGGAGGAATCTGAACCCAGGTTCCTGTGCTCTGCCACCACCCCATATTGTTTCAATGAGGTCAGAGTTCAGGGTAATGGTACAGTTCCACAAGAAGATGGATTTCAGCTTCATGTAAACAAAAACTGTGGAGTGGTGCAAAAGATGAACACGCCAGGCCTGTGCCATTGGTAGAAGGGTGTCTCCTGTTCTGGAAATACTCAGGTAGAAACTGGACAGCTAATTTGGAGACTATTTCACAGGAAAGTTGTGTGTCTAATAGACAAAAATCCTTTTTTAAAAAAAATTTTTATTATTTTTAATTTATGTGTATGAGTGTATTGCCTGCGTGTATTCTAATATTTATCTTGTAGAGCAAAAGCAATATATTCAAATAGTTAAAAATTGAAAAAGTATAAAATGGCATCTGGAGAAAAGCCTTCCTCTAATTCTGTCCAGGTCCCTCCATGTAATTAACCTTTATTGCTAGTTCTTTGGTGGGGAGATTTTCTAGAGAGATGTTTAAATGTATGCTGACATATAAAAATACAGATATGTTTCCATAAATGGCAGTTGGTCAGTGACCTTATTAGCTTCACTGTTAACTTGATACAACTTAGAATTACCTGGAAAAAGAGTCTCAATTGAGGAATTTCCTATATCAAATGGGTCTGTAAGCATGTATGTGGGGGATTGTCTTGATTGTTAATATACAGGAGGGCCCAGCCCACTGTGGGCAGCACCATTCCCTAGGCAGGTGTTTCTGAATTGTATAAGAAAGCTAGCTGAGGGGCTGGAGAGATGGCTCTGCGGTTAAGAGCACCATCTACTCTTGCCTAGGACACAGGTTCAATTCCTAGCACCCACATGGTGGCTAACAACTGTTCATGACTCCAGTTCTAGGGAACCTGATGCCCTCTTCTGACCTCTGCAGGCATTGCATGACACAAGTGTACTTATATACATGCAGGTAATACACTTATACACATAAAATAAAAATAATAAATATATATTTTTAAAAAGCTAGCTGAGAATGAGCCTACCTGCAGCCAGCTTATGTATCTTCCATGATTCGTGCTATGAAGTCCTTTGTCAGAGGTAATGCTGTGTGGAAGGGCAGGCAGGCCTGCCTTCAAGTTCCTGCCTTAATTTCTGCCTTGACTTCCCTCAGTGATGAACTGGGACCTGGAGGCTAAAGCCAAATAAACCTTTTCTTCCCCCAAGTTGCTTTTGTCTGGCTATTTTAATCACAGCAACAGAAATGTGATAGAATAGTCAGGAAAACAGAAATTATTCTAGGTATTTCGGAGGGGGTTTAAGAAGAAGGATTGATTACAAATGGATCAAAAAGGGAAGTCATAGCACTCAGAGCCACAGCAGTCCTCGTTCACTGCCACTGCCACAACTGTCTCTGAAGACCACAGCCTGCTAGTGTTATGGGAACTACCACAGCCCTCACTCAAGGATGTTGCCTGGCGTTGAAGCTTCTGTAATCAACACCTGAAGCTGGACGACTGCTGCTCCCTCCCTCCCTTCCCTTCCTGCACAAATCGCTCCCAGCGTGCATATAGCTCTTGCAGAGGACCAGAGTTCAGTTCCCAGCGCCTACAGTGGACAGCTTAAAACTGCCCTTAACTCCAGTTCTAGGGGATCTGATGCTCTCTTCTGGACTCCACAGGCACATACACTTACATGTGCATATACCCCCTCCACAATCCATATAATTAAAAATGATAATATAAATAAGTATTTCAAAAAGGAAGGGCTTTTCCCTTTAGCTGATGAAATTGTTCCCAAGGCAGCCCTCAGTCATCGACCCTCTCAGAGATGCCTTAGGTAAAGAGACCTGCCTGTTCCAGGTCGTACCTCTTTCCTGGAGGCAGTCATAGTCAGTTCTGTAACCATCTGGACCTTTTATCCTAACCTGAGACAGCTATGAAAGAACATCCCAGCCTCATAGCTCCTTGTGGAGTTGATGGAGACCTCTGTTGAGATGTTGCAATAGCCCATCTCCTCCTGTGCCCAGGCCTGCTCCTTGCCTCTTCCATCCCTTCCAGTGGTGGTGATGCCCAGAGCATTTCTCAATGAACCTCCCTCGGGCCAACAACCATTTCAGAGGCTGCATCCCAGAGAGCCAGACCGTCAAGTGCCCATTTACAATGTTGATAGGTCCTGGGTACTTAATCCAGGAAGGTTATACGGATGATGTAGATTTCTAGATCTCTACTCAGTTCCTGGGTTCTGGAGTCCATCTCGTGCAAATGCTCTCCTGGTTCCAGGCCAAGCACTGATGCTGAACTCTGAGGTGCTCCATAATTTGATCTTCCTGTTTGACCTCCCTGTATTTGAAATTCACCAGAGCTTGGCGTTTCTGTACAGAGCTGAGTCCAGCTGTTCTGATCCAGTAAGCCTTGTTTTGTTAATACAATCCTGCAAGATTTATTTGTTTGGCTTGGCTTCCCCTGACCTCAGACATTCTGTTTTGTATTATTTTTAAAAGCGTGCAGGTCTCCATGGAGGCCCTTTTCTTTTCAAATCTGAGAACCAGCTGGGAGAATGGAAAAAAAAGAAAGAAAAAAAAAACAGGTGGGATGCTGGGACATATTAACAGAATCATAACTCATCAGAGGAACGAGTGTCCTCTTTTTAACCATGGCATTGATTAGTGTGGGTTTATTGGCTTCCTGGACCTACCTGTGGGCCCAGTGATTTAAGACGAGAAACTGGAGAAATGGTAACCGTAGCAAACTTTCACTAACTTCTGCTGCATGGCAAGTGCCTCTTAAGTGCTTCCTATGCTGCGACCTAGTTAATCCACAGCTATGTCTGTTGCTGAGGAAACTGAGGCTCAAAAAAGGGTCAATAAAGAACCCAGGCATTATCCCACAGTGAGTAAGAAGCTAGGCTTGAGCCCAGGTCTGCTTAGCCAAAATAGATCTTCTCCAGAGTGGTTGTCTCGGTGTACGTTGGTCATGAATTTGTCTTCAGGAAGCCTTTTGCCTGTCCTCTTGCCTGGGTTCCTTGAGTAGAGGTCTCTCACCCCACTCTTCTGATCTACAGTCATGTGTGACATTCTCCAGCAAACGGCTGCTCTTTTCCTGACTAGCCCTAGTGGCTCTCTCACTTGAGGCCCTGGCTTATTGTTGAAAAGTTCCTGTTAACAGTCCCTCTGCTCTTTGCTTCCCCCACCAAAGGCTCCACTCACCTTGTCCTAAAGTGTAGATGTCTTTAAATCACACGAATGTGGTAATAGTCCATTCTCTGCAGCCCCGCCAGTGTGATTTAAATTGCAGCTTTGCAGCTTCCCCAGTAACACTGAGGAAGTAACTCAACTTCACTGTGCCTGCTGGTGTCCTCATATGTAAAGCAGTAACAATAGTAACTATCCATAGAGCTGTGAAAGAGACATGAATTGCTGTATTCGAAGCACCCAACACTGAGCCTGGCGTACAGAAAATGCTAGCTGTACAATCATCTTCTTATCCTGAATACATAGTGCCTGAGTAGTTTCTAGGTTGTTTTCTTTAAAAAAGAAAAACTATTTTATTATTTTTATTTTATGTGTGTGAGTGTATTGATTGCATGTATGTAAATGCACTTATATTGTGCAATGCCTATGGAGGTCAGAAGAGGGCGTCAGATCACCTGGGTTAGCCGCCATGGGAACAGTTCCTGGGAACGGAACCCAGGGCCTCTGCAAGAGTAGCCAGTGCTCATAACCACTGAGCCATCCCTCCAGCCCCTGTTTTCTTTTCTTTTGAATTATTCAGAGATAGAAAAGATATAACCATGCTCTATTAAAAAAAATAATAACTGTGCAACCTGTAGGCAACACAAGCAATTCTTGTGGAGATGTGTTTGGGTTCTTTACACAGGTGGCTAAACCATGAGTCCCATCAATGTTTCCATAACCAATTGGCATTTCTGATGTTTCCTTGATGCTATAGTGCAGATCCTGGATTGAAAGGTGTTCAATAGATGTTTGTTGAATGTGTGAGTGAATGATGTGACAATCATGGAAAAGTCAAGTCAGAAAGAGTTCTTGAAGATCATTAATACAGCCTACTTTTTTTGAAAAATTTATTTTGCTTTTATATTTGTGTGTGTGTGTGTGTGTGTGTGTGTGTGTGTGCGTGTGTGTGTGTGTGTGCGTGTGTGTGTGTGTGTGCGTGTGTGTGTGTGTGTGCGTGTGTGTGTGTGTGTGCGTGTGTGTGTGTGTGTGCGTGTGTGTGTGTGTGTGCGTGTGTGTGTGTGTGTGCGTGTGTGTGTGTGTGTGCGTGTGTGTGTGTGTGTGCGTGTGTGTGTGTGTGTGTGTGTGTGTGTGTGTGTAGTGTGTGTGTGTACATGCATGCAGGTACCCTTGGAAGCCAGAGGAGGATGTTGGATCCCCTGAAGCTGGACTTAGAGGCAGTTGTGAGCTTCCTACAAGAGTATCAAGTACTCTTAAGCACTGAGTCATCTCACCGGCCTCCAGTCTATTGCTTTAACCGCTGAGAGGGGAAGGGACCAGAGCAAGTGCACACATTGTATTGCAGGTGGGGACCGCAGCATGGAGGACCCGGGCCCTCATCTCCTGGGCACCGCAGCATGGAGGACCCGGGCACTCATCTCCTGGCCACTAGTTTTTGCGACCATTTCTCCACCTGTCAAGTGGTTTTTTTTTTTTAATCTTTTCCTTTTAAGGAGCCATCAGTCTCTTCAGATGGTTTTAATAGCCAAAAATAACTCATCTCATGAGGTTCATATTTTCCACAATCACTTGGGAGAGGCCTTCTTGGAAGAGATATGGGATAGAGGGCTAACCTCTAGCTGCTAGCTAAAGGATAGTGCAATCCAGTGGCACTGTGGGAACCCTGAGATCAGGTTTAGCACTCCCTTTGGTTCTCAACACAGCAGGGACCATTAGATGATCCTTCTGGTCTGCCTCTTCTCTGTTAGAGGTGACTCTAGCATCCTGGTGGAACTGACCATTCTTGAACACCTGAGTTAAATCGTGAAGAATTTATGGTAAAATATGGGAAAGGATACCCAGGAGAGACAGTATTTAGCTTGAGCATTATTTCCTATGCAACAATCAGAAGGAAGAGGGATGAGAATCAAAGGGGACCTGATTTTTTTCTTCTCTCCCCTCCCCTTCCTCCTTTTCCCTCCCCTTCCTTCCCCTCCCTCCATCCCTTTTCTTCCCTCTCCTCCCCTCTCCTCCCTTTCCCACTCCCCTCCTCTCCCCTCCCTTCTCCCCTCCCCTCCCTTCCCCTCCCTTCTCTTTCTTGTTGAGACAAGGTTTCAACTACATATTCCAGGCTTATCTTGAACTCACCATGTAGCTGAAGCTGGCCTCAAGTTCACAGCATCCTTCCGCCTCACCCTCCCAAGTACTAGGATTTCTATCTGTATACCACTATACCCATCTGGGAGTCCATTGTCTTATACCTGGAAGCCAAACTCATAGGTCCTGGCCTTGAGCCACTGTGTTTGATAATTTACCTTTCCTTATTGCCATTCCACTTCCCCAGTGCGTGCCCTGCCCCCGTTAGCATAGTAGATAAGGGAGATTCCACTGGAAATTAGATCAGTGTCCTAAAGAAAACACAGCAAGCCTGTTGGCTTCTTGGAAGGTGTATAAAAAACATAAACAGATCTGCCCCTTCACTTAAGAGACACTTACTGAGCACTTGGTCTGTACTCAGTCTTAATGACAGTCCTTCAACCTCAAGGAGTTCATCATCTGGTGACTCTAATACATCATGGGGTGAGTATCTTAGAGATTTGCCAGCTGTGGGATGCTCTCAGGAAAAGCTTCACAGAGAAGCAGATGATCAGCTGGGTTTGGAGAAGAGAATTAAGGGAGTTGTTGGTCAGACATGAACATCAGACCTTGTAACTAAACAGCATGTTTTATGTCCTAGCTTGTCATATATGGAGAAAGGATCAGATGATCGCATATATGAGAAGGGATTGTGGTGGTTAGTATTAACTGTCAACTTGAAATGTAGAATTTCCTGGGAAGAGACTCTCAATAAAGGATGGTATCCATTGGGTTGGCCTGAGGGCATGTCTGTAGAGGATTGCCTTGATTACAGTAAGTGTGATGTGACTAAGACAGAGATGGTGGTGTATGGATCTGGAGAAGGAGGTAAAGAGCAGGCTCTTTCACAAGAGGCTTGAGTACAAGCTATGCAACTGAAAACGGTGTCCTGGAGCAGTAGGGGTGGAGACGCATGCAGAGGCTGTGGGTTCATGACTGAGTGCACATGCTCATGGTGTGTTTGGAATACGGACCTCTCATGGTGTGGAGGTGTGGTACGAGGCTGGAGGTAGGCACTGGAGGCATCTAATCCGTGATTGCTACGCTCAGGCGGGAGGTTTACAGAAAAGGGAGTACGTGTGGGTGTGAGGATTTGCTGCTGTGTTCTGTCACCTTTGTCATATCTATCAGTGGTGTTTTCGAAAAGAAAAAGAGACTTGTTTTCCTTAGAACACAAATGGTAGAATTAGACCCACATGATGGAGAATGGCTCTGACATCACTGTAAGGCAAGCCACTGTCAAACCTCACCCTCCCCAACACCTTAACTGGACATCTTCCCTGACCTGCCTCATCCTCTGCACTCCATCTTCCAGGCTGTCCCTGGCCTGTGAGTCCTCCTGCTCACGATCACCCTCCCAGCTGCCTTTGCCCTTCCCTGTACCTCTGCTCCAGCTTGGCCTTCAGCTTTGCTTGGCTACTCTAAGCTTCCTGCCAGCCCTGTTGTTGTCTCTCCACTTGGGGCCTGGCTCACTCCCTGATGAGAAGAGCTCCCACTGGGCTCCCCTCCCCCATGCCAGCAGGCCAGGCCCAGATGTGCTTACATAGTGGGTCTGAGCCTTTGCATTCCGGTAGGAATCCAGGGTTATTAATTAACCCAGGGTACAACCGATTATGAAACATCCCAGAATACTAGAAGGAACCAAAGGGACTTCTGAACTCCCAGCAGGGGAAAATGCCTTTTAATTGGTTTGGATGACTTCGCTGCAGAACTCTGTCTGGCTGTTATGCTAAACTGGAAACCAATCCATTAGATAGTCTAAGGAATCTCTGAGCCCACCCTGAGCAGAGTCTCCTGAGGAAGGGAGTGGGGCTGACACATAAACAGGACTTATGCATGGAATGGCTAGTCACATCTTCTAGCCTCCAGAAGTTGATATCTGAGAATGGGTTTGAATGTCCTACAATGTCTACCTTCTGCATTCCAAAGGAACGTTTCCAAGGCATTACTTACTTTGGAATAGAATATAACCTAAACCAAACTTGTCTTAGACCCTTCCTCAGGGAGTTCACAGGGTGTCATGAGAGTTTGCATGGATGTTGGAGACCTCTGACAGCTTTACAGCCTAAGGACAATATCAACACCTGGTCTCACGCTTTGGCTAAGCATCAGGCACTGGCTAATGTGGATTAGTTTGTTTAATTCTCATCACTTCCCTATGGTGAGTATATGCCATAAATTTGCCCATTCTTCAGATGAAGAAACTAGGGTTTTCCCAAAGCCACACAGTTTATGAGTGATAGAGCTGGAATTTGACCCGACTCAGGTCTGTGTTGACACTTCCTAACCTTGATGCTGGCTCACCTGGAGATATATCCTAGACCTTTGAGCTCCAGAGACATGTGACATGATGGTTGATCATAACTGTCAACCTGACTGGATTGAGAAACACCTAGTAGGTTAGTAAAGCATACTGCTGATTGTGTCTGTGACAAGGTATTCAGAGGTGGTTAAATTATAAAGATCTGAGGGTGCTGGAGAGATGACCCAGTGGTTAAGAGCACTGGCTGCTCTTACAGAGGACCCAAGTCCAGTTCCTGACAGCTAACAACCATCTGTAACTCCAGTTCCAGGGGATCCAACACCCTCTTCTGACCTCTGAGGGCATTGCATGACATGGATGCACTTACATACATGAAGGCAATACACTCCTATGCATTAAAATTAAAATTAAAATAATAAAATATTTTTTAAATCAAAAAGCTCTGACCTCATGAGTGGTTTAATCTACTGATGGATTCAAAATTTTCAGAGCCCATTTAGAGTTGGTAAACTATGGATAGTGGAGCCAGGTTGGAGGAAGTAGGTCACTGGCATGGGGGTGTCCTTGAGGGCTATGTCTTACCCTGCCCCCGTCCCTTTGCTGCTCTACCTCTGATCAGTAATGATGCAAGCTGCTCCCCAACACCTTCCCCATCATGATGGACTAAAAGCTCTAAAACCATCAACAAAATAAAATTTCCTCCTTTTAAATTGTTTATGTGTGGCATCCTGTCCTAGTGGTGAGAAAGTAACTAATATACTTGGTGACTTGATTCTCATGCGTACAGGACTGCCTTGTCATTAGGCTTTTTCTACAAGACTGAAGTTTACCAGACACAACCTTTAGGAGCTAGTCCTTTCCCTACCTCATCTCTCCCAAGATCCATCTTCAACTCCAGCCCTCGTAATGCCTATGGCTCCTGGTCATCTTGTGCCTGGGCTTATGCAAGTCCCTCCTGGGAAATCCTTCCCCCAGTTCTGCCCTATATTGCTTCCATTCTGTGCCTCCCATCTGTGCTTTCTTGGTGCCTCATGCACATGGGTACTGTGACACTTCCAGATGTCTTTGAAATTGCCATTTCACTTGTTGTCACTCCTTTGGATGATGGACTTATTGAGACAGGATGGATCTTTTTTTTTTTTTCACAAATTGAGGGCCACTCTGTGCTAAGTGATAGCACTGTGATGATGATGGAATAGCTCTGTGATGATGATAGAATAGCTCTGTGATGATGGAATAGCACTGTGATGATGATGGAATAGCACTGTGATGACGATGGAATAGCTCTGTGATGACGATGGAATAGCTCTGTGATGACGATGGAATAGCTCTGTGATGACGATGGAATAGCTCTGTGATGACGATGGAATAGCTCTGTGATGACGATGGAATAGCTCTGTGATGACGATGGAATAGCTCTGTGATGACGATGGAATAGCTCTGTGATGACGATGGAATAGCTCTGTGATGACGATGGAATAGCTCTGTGATGACGATGGAATAGCTCTGTGATGACGATGGAATAGCTCTGTGATGACGATGGAATAGCTCTGTGATGACGATGGAATAGCTCTGTGATGACGATGGAATAGCTCTGTGATGACGATGGAATAGCTCTGTGATGACGATGGAATAGCTCTGTGATGACGATGGAATAGCTCTGTGATGACGATGGAATAGCTCTGTGATGACGATGGAATAGCTCTGTGATGACGATGGAATAGCTCTGTGATGACGATGGAATAGCTCTGTGATGACGATGGAATAGCTCTGTGATGACGATGGAATAGCTCTGTGATGATGATGGAATACCACTGTGATGACAATGGAATAGCTCTGTGATGATGATGGAATAGTTCTCTGATGACGATGGAATAGCTCTGTGATGACGATGGAATAGCACTGTGATGACGATGGAATAGCTCTGTGATGACGATGGAATAGCTCTGTGATGACGATGGAATAGCTCTGTGATGACGATGGAATAGCTCTGTGATGACGATGGAATAGCTCTGTGATGACGATGGAATAGCTCTGTGATGACGATGGAATAGCTCTGTGATGACGATGGAATAGCTCTGTGATGACGATGGAATAGCTCTGTGATGACGATGGAATAGCTCTGTGATGACGATGGAATAGCTCTGTGATGACGATGGAATAGCTCTGTGATGACGATGGAATAGCTCTGTGATGACGATGGAATAGCTCTGTGATGACGATGGAATAGCTCTGTGATGACGATGGAATAGCTCTGTGATGACGATGGAATAGCTCTGTGATGACGATGGAATAGCTCTGTGATGACGATGGAATAGCTCTGTGATGACGATGGAATAGCTCTGTGATGACGATGGAATAGCTCTGTGATGACGATGGAATAGCTCTGTGATGACGATGGAATAGCTCTGTGATGACGATGGAATAGCTCTGTGATGACGATGGAATAGCTCTGTGATGACGATGGAATAGCTCTGTGATGACGATGGAATAGCTCTGTGATGACGATGGAATAGCTCTGTGATGACGATGGAATAGCTCTGTGATGACGATGGAATAGCTCTGTGATGACGATGGAATAGCTCTGTGATGACGATGGAATAGCTCTGTGATGACGATGGAATAGCTCTGTGATGACGATGGAATAGCTCTGTGATGACGATGGAATAGCTCTGTGATGATGATGGAATAGCTCTGTGATGATGATGGAATAGCACTTTGATGATGATGGAAGACAGATGCACTGTCTGCCTGATGGAGAGTATTAATTACACAGCGTGCTCTCTCTCTCTCTCTCTCTCTCTCTCTCTCTTTCTCTTTCCTTCTCCTTCTCTATTTCCCTGTCTCTGTCCCTCTCCAAAGTTACAAATACTGTTTAAAGCTATGGTAGCATACTGGGGAGATAGCTTAGTTGGTCAAATGCTTGCTGTGTAAATATGAGGACCTGACTTTGAATCCCAGCATCCATGTATAAAGCTGGTCATGGAGGCATATGCTTATAATCCCAGTGCTAGGAAGGCAGAGGAAAGAGGGTCCCTGGGGCTCACTGGGCACTGGACAGATAGTCTAGCATAATTGATGGGCTCCAGGCCAATGAGAGACCTTATCTCAAAACATAAGATAGATGGGCTGGTTCCTGTGGAGGACACCCAAGGTTGACTCTGACCTCCACATGTATGCACACACATGTGCATATGTGCCCCCAACATGCATGCACACAAATGCTCCCCCCATAAACACACATACACACAAATATGTTTTTTATTTATTATTGTTATCTTATGTGTGTGAGTGTTATGCCTGCATGTATGTAAGTGCACCTGTGTCTTTCAGTGCCCATGGAGGTCAGAAGAGGGGATCAGATCCCCTGGAACTGGAGTTACAGATGATTGTTAGCCACCATGTGGGTGCTGGGAACTGAACCTGGGTTTTCTGCAAGAATATCTAGTGCTCTTAACCACTGAACCATCTCTCCAGCGCATATAT